AAATATGAGGCTCACAATTTATCAATCAGCCTGCGTAGATTACAACGAATGAAAAAATACCATTAAAGAGGGTTACACATTATGTCATTGCACTGACCAAAGATATTTGTTGAATATAGGAAAGAAAATAACATACATGTGAAAATTTCCTTGTGTTAACTACCTATAATTAAAACCCATGAGAGTGTTAATTACCACAAATACACAAAATGGAGGTAGTCAGTAGGTGCTGGATTAATTAAATCAGCTACTACAGTATTTGAAAAGTCTTCCGAACTGCCTTTGTGAAAATTTATCCACCATATCTAATTTCTTAAACTTGTCTGAAAATAATCTTGTGTGATGTTTTGTTTATAAGCAAATGTAAACCCATATTAACTTATAAATAAGATTTAGCACAGTGTTTACAATGTGCTTTATTGTTTGTTTTAAATAAATATTACTTATCACTTCCCCGCACTTTTATCACATTTTTTGTGAACAAAATGAACTAAAAATACCGACATATTATAAAATTTGTTCACGCTATATTTGACAAAACAATAACGTGAAGATATTAGTGTTTATTTTAATGATACGCGTCTGCTGTGTCAAAGATGACACCCAGCATGCATAACATATTAAATCCGAGTAATGTCACAGTTTCAAATGAGAAACAATGTTATTAGTAAGAGAAACAGACACACGTATGGTGATCGAATTCATCAGCTTCATAAAAATTGTGTTGACGATCATGGTCTCCCATAATCTTAATCAAACGGCATCTATCAAAACTACGCGTTATAAATCTTTACTTTTGGTAACTTACAAACACAAATATCCTGAGATTGAAAAGAAGCCCTGTAATTTCGAATCTACTGCAACATTTTAATGCTGTTACCTAGAATATGGAAAATTCACCAAAGCGAAACTACTTCTGTGCGCTTATCTTGCAGCTTATTGGTAAGCCGTTGGTGTTGGAAGCGTTTACAGTAAATGTTGAGATAAGTGACCGCTATAGAAACTTTCAGAATGAGTTAGAAATGGTATGCCCAAGGATTATGACTGATAAGTTTTATGTTCTATATCAAAATTGAAATTATAGTACTTTATTTGTAGGGCAGTATTTGTAGTATTGTATTGTAAATACTTTTTTTTTAAACTTTCCTTTTTTTAAACATATATTATTTTTGGACATAAATATTCGTTTATTAAGAGTACCATGGAATTTACAAGAACAAATCGCCGACGAAAATGAATGATTTTAGTTTTTGTGAGAAAAAAAGTCACTAGGTGAGCGATGCTGGCTCAATAGGCCTCCTACTATATACATTTTTCTAGGATATAAATTCGTAAAAAAGAATTTGTTTTTTCGTTTCATATGGTCTTACTTAAAAAAGGACAAAGAACTTTAACATTGCCGAACGTCTAGCGAGGCCATTTGCTTTGATAAGAACATATTCAGGACTTCTTAGTAACCGAGTTTCTTGTGAGGCCATTTCAAATAAGATTCATTTTAAAATGGGATGAAAAACGTTAATTAGCGTGTTGGCAAGAAGTGGAATTCCTCTTATCAATACCATAGTAACTTTGCAAATGCTGTGTATGATTCACCGGAAGTAAGATTGTCTGATTCTGGTATCAATACGATTTTGCGTTAAGACACCGTACTATTAGTTGCATTCCATACTACATGTATAACGTCGGAACATGCCATATAGCATTACTTTATATGTACGAATATGACGTTAAAAGACACCCCTCACAAGAAGAAGAAGAAGAGAAAAAGATAATATTGTTATAAACCCTGATAGTGGAGGTGAGTTAAATTTTGGCAACTTAGAAGGATTTATCTTAAATAAAAATATGTATAGTTTTGCTAAATATAATTGCTTGCAATAACACAAAGGTATTGCTTGTTGCTGAGAAGGATTCAATTAAACAGTGATTTTAATGTCACAATAAAGTTTTTCTATCACTTGGTCATGATCATTTAACAAAAGTCGGACATCCGGACACTAAACATGTATGACCAATATTCATACACGCTATTTTTATCGATATACATATTACATCTAGTTGGAATTGTTGGCATAAGAATAACTTAATTCACTTTGTACTAATATTTACTGCTGATACTGCATAGTTGATCATATTTGCGGGAGATATATTTTTCAATATTCGCGGTCATTAAATATAATAGAAATTTTAAATACTAAATATGTTTACAGCAGTTTGAAATCAACCATAAAATGTTTTATGTGACTGTGTACATGGATTAAAATTGATAGCTATGCACGGAAATTTGTCCCTGTGAGTTATCCCAAACTGCTTAAATTTAGCGCCGCCGTGAAAATCAAATCCATACACATTGATCTCATAACAGAAAAAAGTCAACAATGGAAAGTTTAAATATTTAATGATGTTATCAAATGACAGTATTATGAAATAACAAGACTTGTACATTATCATACTATATTAAAGATTCAGGGTGTGGGACCTTGTTTCTTGATTCTGAAAACGAAATGAAATATATGATGTTTGCATGCCACCTATTTGATTCACATATTTTGCAGCAGATATTAAGACACTGCTTTATATGAAGATATGTGCATATTGAGAATTATATATATTAATGATACATTAGAGGAGCCAAATCCTTTAAGATTTCCTCAGGAGTAGACTATAATAACAAGAAGGAAAATGCTAATTGTAAACAAAGAAATATTATCTTTAAAACATACAGAATAAAGTTCGACTATCAACCAATCAAGTAATCAAGTTCAAATTATAAACGTGGGCTAATGTAAAACGAACAGTCAAAATGTAAAGGAAGTATTGGAAAAGAGGTAAAAAAAAATGTCATAAAAGTGGAGGATAGGAGCATTAAAATCCATCTGATTTCGGCATTGATAAACGGTTTCATCATACACCAAAAGTAGTCTGTTGGGAATACATAGACAAATGGATGGATGTAACATCCCTTAAAGACATCTCAATAGTAAGACCAACTTATCATTGAGACCACCTTATTTCAGTTGCAAAAATACGTTATATGCCTTTTTAATGCAAGTTTCACTATCAAGACCAACTCAATACAAAGACCGTCTCGTGATAAGACTAGTTTTAAAAAGTCCCTAAGACCAGTTTTGTATTGAATTTCACATCATTGATCAGACCACTGACCAATGTTATCTGGTGAGGTTTCCACCCATCAATTAGCCCAGTTTAGGTGTCAATCTGACTTCTAGAATACAATTAGTGTGTAAAATGTTATATATTCTACAAAATAATTTAATGACTGTGAACATATGGACACAAGCGGCCGTTCAGGAAGCCTAGATCATACTCTCTAGATAAGATCCGTCCGCTAATAAGATCACTTGTACCTAGTGTCTATGATGGTCTAAAGGGTGAGGTTTCATTGTATGTAACTATATACCGAATATTACGACTATAACTACGTTATACAGTGGTCATTTTGTCGGGACTCTCAGTGATGCTAGATGCATAAAGGCAGACACTAAGGAGTGAAGTTGTTAACACATTAACATAAACAAATATTACTGAGCAAAGAAATAAATTCACAATAATTCGACCAATTAGGTAAACTTAAAATATCTGAGCCGTATATAAAATGAGTAAATTCCGTTAAAATCCAAAGTCAATTACTTTGAATGTTAGGAATAACCGTAAATATTACAGTCATTTGTGTTTAGTTATTGAGCTTACTAACCTATCTTATACTGAGAATCTCCAACAGAAATCTTTTACAGATGTAGCAGAACAAGACTGTCTGGATATACCTACTGAATTATGTCTTTCTTAAAACAAATGTATGTTCTATTATAATGATTTATGATATCATATTTCATGTACTTAGTAGTCGCGTACGTACCAATTAGGTTTAAATTACTATACTGTATTACAGTCCTTTATGGTGTTGAATGTTAAGTGTCATGTGCTTGTATCTATGATTTGTCCTGTAACCCTTGACCCTAGCACATTTGACCTGTACGCTGGTCATGTGACATCTCTTCATGCCACATCACATGTGCCAAAACTGCCACATGTAGGATGGAGTCAGGAGGTATTGACTCTCAGGTATTGTATTCTAACTTTAGAGAGAAATAATTGGTATCTCTTACCCTCTTGATGAATATATATAATTAACTGTTGTAGAACATCAAATTGATATTGATGATATAACACCAGCAGCAATTTATGTTGTATAAGTATAAATAGAGGAATGTTCAGTCTGTTGGTCATTTAAAAAAATCCAAATATGTAACGTAAGAATTATTTCGTCTTTTTTCCTTTCTTGAATGTAATATTCTACTGATATTTGCATTAACTGAAATACCTCTATCACTTTCTATATTATTATGGTACTGAAGGGGTATTTTTTTTTTATTTATTTATAAGTTTACTGAGAGCTAAAATATAATTCAATCTTCTAATTCTATTGTTTACATATATGTATAGTAGTTATCATAGTCACATGGATATATTTTATCATGGAATGTAGTGGGTATTATATTGGAAATGCTTAATGGATAATCTTGTTCATCTCAGAAATGGAAATTATGAAAACTATGTAAGTCAGTACACATTGTATCAAGTGTAGTGTAGTTGCAAATAAATCGTGTGATATTAAGTCCGTTATTGCATCCTTATGTCAAGTTATTATGGTGTTGAACTGTGTTAAGCAGTGATATTGGATGCCACTGTGTGTGTTTTCTATTTTGATAGAATTTTAAATAACATATTACACTTATTAACTTAAGAACGGACTTTGTCATCATTCCTTTCGAACTTCCGTCCAAATCCCAACCCTGTTTCATAGATGTTTTAAAGTTCCTATTAGTGATGTTTTAAAATTCCTATTAGGGATGTTTTTTAAATTCCTATTAATGATGTCTTAAGATTCCTATTAGTATTTATATAAGAAAACTGTTCTCAGCTCTCTTTTGATCGATATTTGTATAACATTTTATAATCGGTTAACTATTGAATACGTACTATCCTAAAATTCCCAGCCCAATTCCCAGTCCAACTGGTCCAATGCCTCCATATCCGTATCCATATCCTCCAAACGGTGGATAGAAGCCACCATATGGGCCATAAGGGCTGTAATAGCCGAATCCTCCATACGGTCTAAAACCCCCGCCAAGGATTCCACCAAGGGTGAGTCCTAACCCAAGCCTTCTTAAACGTCTTCTTATCCTGTTGCCTTGACAATCAATGTTGACCAATAAAGAACAGATAAGGAGGAGAACTATCAGGTACTTCATGGTCCTTTTGCACAATTTGTTTTAACTGAAAAAAGGAATAAAGTGAAATTAGTTATTGATTTATTAACCATCTATTGAAGCTTGTTGTTTTTCACCGTTTATGTAAGAGAATTATTGAAGGATATAAAATAATACGAATTTAGAGGATGGTAAAGGATACGAACAAGTGAAAAACGAATTTCAGTAGAATAAAGGAAGAGAGATGCAGTTTATGTGAAATCCTGATATTCCGAGGTATATATCGAGTGTATGTATATGTGGTTAAAGAGTCTTCTCTCTTCTGTACAACAAAACATAAATCTTACAATACATGTGTTTAGCATGGAAGCATCTAAGCATTCATCGTTTTCTACCACCAATTCATTTAAAAAATATATATGTTAAAATAAAAGCAAATTCAAACTCTACCTTTATGTGTCGCTCAGGACCGCTGTCTCATGTGTGATGCTCTGTTTTCCGAATTTACATCGTTATATACTAACATGTACAAACAAAACACACCCATTATAAAAAAATAACATGTGTTTATACATTGTAACATGAATGATATTTTTATTTTCAACATCTTTCTCAGATCACCGCGCAAAAAACAGAACTGACATTTATTGGTTTTCTTGTCTCTGTTCATCGTAAGTACGTACATAGAATTCCATAGTTTAAGCTCTAATTAACTGGCCAGTGAACCTCTTGCCAAGATATGGAGTAAGTAGATAAATCCATTCTGGCCACGGTGATATATGTTAATGATGATGATGATGATATATGTGTATACCTTTTATATCGATTTATGTTCAAAGATGGGGGCTGAAACGACTTTGGGAGCATAGAGTTTTGTCTGATATAACTGTACACCGTAATGATGAAAGAGAAATAAAACAATGTTGTTATCGGCAATAAAAAAGCAATTGCTGATTTTTACTCCAAGGTTCGAATTTTCGCGGCGATATCTGTTTTATTATGAGTAATTCCCATTAAATTTTGATGTTATTTTTCAGCATGTATTTCCTCAGAATTTATCATGACATTAATAGGGAGAGAACCTGCTCCGTTATAGAGATCATAGCATCGAAAATGATAGAACATTTACCGTAATAGAGATCATAGCATCGATGAGGAGACAACCTGTTCCGTTATAAATATATAACATCAATAAGGATAGAACATTTACGGTAATAGAGATCATAGCATCAATAAGGACAGAGCCTTTATCGTAATAGAGATCATAACATCGGTAAAGGTATTACCTTTGCCATAATAGATATCACAATGACAGAACATGGGACATTTTGTCAACAACTACGATTACCCAATGATAAATGAATAATAAGTTATACTATTATTGAATCGATGCGGTGCAACTTGTTTCGTATGTATCAAGATGACAACTTCAATGCCTGCACTACTTTATTTCAACCCAGTTCAAAAACAAAACATTACAGATTCCAAAATTTTTCCAATGTATTTTGACTCCGATAGAATAATTTTTATCTGCGTTGACAGGTTTATTGTAATCGAACTATTGCAATATAATTGTTATTCGCTATTATGTAGTGACGTTACTTTTGCTATAAGTATGGTCTGAAACCAATCCCAATGTTGTTAGTTATGACTCTTTGATGGGGTTTAGCACTATGAGTATCGCGTGTGTTTTTTTATAATACTGATACTAGATATTATAAGATAAGAAAATATTGTAAATATTTGACTGCCATTCTTATGATGGCGATGGTGTGATATGTCACTGTAAAGATGATATCAAACGCATATCCATTGATAATTAGTTTTAATAATTTTTTGCAAGATCAAGATGTATCTTCAGTCAAACATTTTTCATTGTAAATGTAAACAATACCTCGACATGGTTGAATTTGTAGTGTTTATGTAATGCAGTCATCTGAAATAGATAAAAAAAAGAAACATGTCAGAATTGGTAAGTCTACATTGAATATCAAGTTTTGTTAGAATGTTTATACTCGTTATCTAAACACATTAGCATTGCACTTTACTGGAGATGAACAAGACCAATATTACCTTAAATGATGATCAATCTATTTCCTCCAAGTGGACCAAATGGACCAAACGTTGGAAATGGTCGAAATAGTGGAAATGGTCGAAAAGGAAAAGAACCTGGTAGAAATGAATTTATTGCAAGGGCTCTTCTCAGCAATCTTCGTCTCCTTCGAATGATCCGTCTTAAATTTTGTGTTACGACACTCTGTACTAGTAGACTCAGTACCAGGATCAGTATCAATGTTCTCCTCATGGTTTTATCTGCTGTAAGGTACATGTATACACACATTAAAAAATTGTTTTATTTACAACTTTGTTTTTCCTGTTTATTAATATTAATATTTGTAATATGAGAATTGTTTTACAGTTCGTTCAGTTTAGCAATGGTATTTCTGAATTCTTGTTCTGGAAATTTAGATTACGTCGTATGGGTATAAGCACTGTATAATGAAGCTGTGATATAATGTATCTTGAATGTCGACTTTGCAGTATATCTAATTTACTTAAAGTTAGAAATTAGTTCATCTTGTACGTTGACAACGCGGTTTACTTCTGTCACTTTCCCTCAATGTCTTGGATTACAATGTTTTGTGGTATGTATATGATGTCATGAATAATTTTTGGTCTCTGTTGTGGTATTTTCGGCCATTTTATGTTAAGTGTACAGATGCATGATGTTGTAGGTATACTAAGTATTATTTTATAGGTTTGATATCATTTACCATGTCATGTTTCATGTATGTTGTGTCATATTTTGCTAAGTGTTGTGGTATTTTCTGTTATTTCATGCTACATGTGTAATGTTGTGGTATATTCTGTCTTTTTTTTCTACGTGATTGATATTGTGGTATATTTCTCTCATTTTATATTTCGTGTTTGATAATGAGGTAAATACATACCTTATACTGTGGTAAAAGTTATCATGTTTTGTTACATGTATGATGCTGTGGTAAACGTTGTCATGTTTTGTTGCAGGTAAGATGCTGTGGTAAACGTTATCATGTTTTGTTACAGGTATGATGCTGTGGTAAACGTTGTCATGTTTTGTTGCAGGTAAGATGCTGTGGTAAACGTTGTCATGTTTTGTTACATGTATGATGCTGTGGTAAACGTTGTCATGTTTTGTTGCAGGTAAGATGCTGTGGTAAACGTTGTCATGTTTTGTTACATGTATGATGCTGTGGTAAACGTTGTCATGTTTTGTTGCAGGTATGATGCTGTGGTAAACGTTGTCATGTTTTGTTGCAGGTAAGATGCTGTGGTAAACGTTAGCATGTTTTGTTGCAGGTAAGATGCTGTGGTAAACGTTGTCATGTTTTGTTGCAGGTAAGATGCTGTGGTAAACGTTGTCATGTTTTGTTGCAGGTAAGATGCTGTGGTAAACGTTGTCATGTTTTGTTGCAGGTAAGATGCTGTGGTAAACGTTGTCATGTTTTGTTGCAGGTAAGATGCTGTGGTAAACGTTGTCATGTTTTGTTACATGTACGATGCTGTGGTAAACGTTGTCATGTTTTGTTACATGTATGATGCCGTGGAAAACGTTATCATGTTTTGTTACATGTATGATGTTGTGGTAAAATTTATCATGTTTTTTGTTACATGTATGATGCTGGGGTAACCGTTATCATGTTTTGTTACATGTACGATGCTGTGGTAAAAGTTATCATGTTTTGTTACATGAATGATGCTGTGGTAAATGTTAGCATGTTTTGTTACATGTACGGTGCTGTGGTAAACGTTATCATGTTTTGTTGCATGTATGATGCCGTGGTAAACGTTGTCATGTTTTGTTACATGTATGATGCTGTGGTAAACGTTGTCATGTTTTGTTACATGTACGATGCTGTGGTAAACGTTATCATGTTTTGTTACATGTATGATGCTGTGGTAAACGTTATCATGTTTTGTTACATGTATGATGCTGTGGTAAACGTTATCATGTTTTGTTACATGTATGATGCTGTGGTAAACGTTGTCATGTTTTGTTGCAGGTATGATGCTGTGGTAAAAGTTATCATGTTTTGTTACATGTACGGTGCTGTGGTAAACGTTATCATGTTTTGTTACATGTATGATGCTGTGGTAAACGTTATCATGTTTTGTTACATGTATGATGCTGTGGTAAACGTTGTCATGTTTTGTTGCAGGTATGATGCTGTGGTAAACGTTATCATGTTTTGTTACATGTATGATGCTGTGGTAAACGTTATCATGTTTTGTTGCATGTATGATGCCGTGGTAAACGTTGTCATGTTTTGTTGCAGGTATGATGCTGTGGTAAACGTTATCATGTTTTGTTACATGTATGATGCTGTGGTAAACGTTATCATGTTTTGTTACATGTATGATGCTGTGGTAAACGTTATCATGTTTGTTACATGTATGATGCTGTGGTAAACGTTGTCATGTTTTGTTACATGTATGATGCTGTGGTAAACGTTATCATGTTTTGTTACATGTATGATGCTGTGGTAAACGTTATCATGTTTTGTTACATGTATGATGCTGTGGTAAAAGTTATCATGTTTTGTTACATGTATGATGCTGTGGTAAACGTTATCATGTTTTGTTACATGTATGATGCTGTGGTAAACGTTATCATGTTTTGTTACATGTATGATGCTGTAGTAAACGTTGTCATGTTTTGTTACATGTATGATGCTGTGGTAAACGTTAGCATGTTTTGTTACATGTACGGTGCTGTGGTAAATGTTAGCATGTTTTGTTACATGTATGATGCTGTGGTAAACATTATCATGTTTATTACATGTATGGTAATTGCCATGCTGCACTGGAACACCTTCTCTTATTCTCCTTTTTTCAGGATTCTATTGTGCCCTTGTTTTCTTTTATTGAATCTGAGTTTTGAATATAATTTCATCAATATGTAGGTATTGTTCTTGTCTTTCCTGTTGTGTTACCTTAATGGTGTTGTATATTGTGCCATGCAGCGTTACCTGTATGATGTTTTTTGTCATGCAGCGCTACCT